CAGGCCGATTCACTCCCGCCCTCATGGGATGGGGGCGGGCTGATCGATGCCTCCCAGCCGGTATACGACACGCAGTTCCTCCCCCCTCACACCGGCATGTGCTACACGCCCCCCAAGTTCAGCGACCACATCGCCGTCACCCTCTGCCTCGACAACACGCCCCACACACCCGCCGGCCACCACATCGACTTCGGTCAGCGCGTGGCCGTCGACATGAAGGACACCAAGACCACCAGGTCGCAGCCACACAGAGGGTGGAAGGGCATCCAGAGCTTCTTCCAACCGGCACCCAAACCGACCCCTGCGGCCAACAACCAAAGCAGCTCTGCAGCACCAGCACCAGCACCAGCTGCAGCGAACAACGGCAACAAGAACAATGGCAGCAGCAGTGGTGCGATCGACTTGACGGCCGGTGACGATGCGAATGGTACGGGGGCTCCCGTGAGGCAGCCAACGCAGCAGCAGCAGCAGCAGCAGCAGAGTGGGCGTGGCAGTGCGAGTCGAGGCGGGAGGGGAGGGATGGGCGGGAGGGGCGGGTCGGGTGGCGGGGGAGGCAAGAGGCCGGCCGGGCAGACAGACCTCAGGTCGTTCTTCCAGAAGAAGCCCAAGACATAGATGGCTATGGAGAGAGCTTATAGCTTATGGTGGAGGACGGAGGGATGAAGATGGATAGATGACAGCTAGCTGTTCATACTCCAATGGAGGTCTGCAAGGATGTGTGTCGTTAGTGTGTGTGTGTGTGTGTTGACTTCTGCCACTGGCACCGTGAAATTCGTCCGTTGTGTTGCTGCACAGGAAGCGACTGGCTTCGCCCGGGCACACACCTCCTCTGTGGTGTGTGGCTGCCCGTGGCCAGCAGCCGATGAAGCAGCAACAAACCGGGCGCATCGTGTCGAGTGAGCTGTGTGAGTGCGACAGACAATGGGACCGACCGGCGGGTGAAAGGCTCTCTACATGCCGAGACGATGAAGGCATCCCACCTCACACACCGATGCCCCAGGGTGTGCGTGCGTGCGTTCGTTGGTTGATTGTAACGACCCTGTAGTAGACCTATTGAATGAATGATCACCTTAAGTCGGTGTCTCCCTCCCTCCCTCCCGTAAGCACGACAGACACCTAAACCCACAACACACAGCCAGCCAGCCAGCCAGTCAGCCAGCCAGTCGAAAAAGGCCAAAACACTCTTCACACGCTGCCGGGGTGGGGGGGAGAGAGGGGGAGAGGAGACACACACACTACTGCTTGCGGGAAACGACGTAACAGACAGACAGACAGACAGACAGAGAGAGAGAGAGAGAGAGCAGGACAGAAGGGTCCCTTCCTCGCGGGCCGCAACTTGTCGGCGGCCAACACGTACGTATGCATCGTACTGTATAGACACAAGGCCATTGATTGTCGATGTGTGCGTGGGGGGGTGCTTCCGAAAAAACACTGACAAGGAGTCTCGAGCCAAATCACAAAATGACCACGCTCTTCCCTCCCTCCCTCCCTCCCTCCCTCCCTCCCCGTCTGTCAGTCTGCCAATCATCCCGACACACATTCCTCCTGTCCCCCTTTGCACCTCCGTCCATCCGTCAGGCCCGCGACGGCCTCGACGACTTTGACTGCCTTGCAGTGGCCTGGCGCTCCCACCTGACTTTCTCCTTGAACTTGGCGTACATGCTCATCCGGCGGTCCTCGAGCTTCATTTCCTGCTTGGTCTTGGTCTCCATCTCCTTGCGCACATGGCGGTCCAGCACCTGATCCAGGGGGGCACCGCTGGTGCCGGGCGCAGTAGGGCCCGCCCACCAAGTTTCGCTCGCACCCCATTGCCGGAACGCCCACGCCACAACGATTGTTATGGTCGCGGCGAGGCCGAGGATCCACAGGTAGTTCAGCTTGATCACGACCCCCACGACGATGAGGCCGATGGAGATCAGGAAGCAGCTCAGCCAGCAAAAGCTCCACAGCTGGCTTCGCCGGTCGCGGAAGCAGCACAGCAGCACCTTCGACCCTTCAGAAACCGTGGAAGCCCGGTACGCGCTCGTGTGCTGCAGAAACATTGTTCCCACACGATGTCATGGGCCATCATCCATGACACAGGCCCGGTTTGATGCGTGTGCTTACTTCACTTCTGTCCGGCATGGTCCAGAGATCGACCCCAAGAAGCGGAGACTGGGGAAGCCGCGCGCCCCCACCCCCCATTGCGAGCTTAAGCCCGCTCAGCTTTCGCGGGAGATGAAGCGGCATCTCAGCACGATGGCAGCCTGCAGGGTGTTGTACGTTGTTTTGGTCCTTGCTGTCGCTGCCTCGGAGCCGTCCTTCAGGATAGATCACGAGAGTGACGTGTTCCTGCTGGATGGCGAACCGTTCCAGTACGCTGCGGGCGAGGTGCTGTACAGCCGCATACCCAGGTCGCACTGGCGGCCTCTCATGCGGCTCATACACGACGGGGGACTCAACGCCATTCAGGTACTGACTGATGGATTCAGTTCAGTGTGCGGTGTCACTACTGGCTGGTGTTTTGGCAATCAATGCTCCCTCCCGGTCACACACATGTTCTCTGATGCACTCAATCACTCTATTGATGTGTTGATTTGTTTGTGTCAGGTGTATGTGCCATGGAACTTCCACGAGGTCAGGGCCGCCGGCAACCGACACGAGTATGACTTTACTGGCGACAAAGATCTCGTGCACTTCATTGAGGCGGCTGGGGAGGAGGGCCTGTTCGTGCTGCTGCGGCCTGGCCCGTACATCTGCGCTGAGTGGGACTACGGTGGCCTGCCGAGCCGGCTGCTCACGGTCCCCGACATCCGCATCAGGTCGTCAGACAAGCGCTACATGGACGAGGTGCGGGAGTGGTTCGAGGAGCTCCTGCCGCGAGTAAAGCCGCTGCTTTACGTCAACGGCGGGCCCATACTGATGGTCCAGATAGAGAATGAGTATGGGAGCTACAGCGAGTGTGATAAGGACTACCTCAAGACGCTCGAGGACTTGCTGAGGTGGGTGGGCGGTTAAGTTGAGTGTGTGGTTTCGTTGATCTGATCGGCATGGCATTGATGTGGTTGGTGTCTGTGCTGTGCGTGTTGGTGTTGTGTGTGTATGTGTGCATCTATCTGATCTAGGTCTCATTTGGGCGATGACGTGGTGCTGTATACGACGGACGGGCCGGATGAGCGGATGCTCAAGTGCGGATCCACACCCACCTCATTCACCACCAGTGAGCTCACACACACCACACCACACCACCTCAACCGCAGCGTATGTATCTTATGCATTCATTGTTGACTGTCTGCCAATTGCTGTGTGACATGACACATTTGTGCAGTCGACTTCGGTCCGTCCAAGACCAACGTGGAGGAGCTGCATCAACTGTGGCGACGCTTCCAGCCCACAGGTCCTTTCGTCAACTCCGAGCTCTACGCGGGGTGGTTCGATCACTGGGGTGAGGAGCATCACAGAGTGGACTCAAAGGTGACCTACACACACACACGGATGCTGCCCACCCTACGTCTTTCTGGCATGAACGAATGGATGGATGTGTGTGTGCAGGATCTGATGAAGATGGTCAAGACTCTGTGGAACGACTACGGTGCGTCGATCAGCTTCTACATGATGCACGGCGGCACCAACTTCGACGCGTGGAACGGTGCCAACATCCGGCAGGGCGTGTACCAGCCCACCACCACTTCATACGACTACGACGCCCCCATCAGCGAGGCCGGTATGGCCCCGCCCCCCGTCTGTTTCTTCTCTCCATCTTGTGCGTGTGTGTGTTTCGTGGCAGGTCGGCCTCGCGAGAAGTGGCTGTTGCTGCAGGAGTTCCTCGTGCCCAATGAGCGTGTGACGCCCGTCTGGCGCAAGTCGGGCGAGTATGGCACCGTCACGTTCGAGCAAGCCGCTCACCTAACCGACGCTCTGTAAGCCAACCACTCCACAGCCAACAGCCAACGCACACAGACCGTGCGCATGTGTCCTTCCTGCTCGTCTGCAGGAACGCATCGTCGATCCGATCCTTGAAAGGTGACACCCCGATGACTCTCGAGGCGGCGATCGAGGAGCTGGGGCTGCCGCAGACGTCGCCGCCCGTATCCTTGGTGGCCTACAGACACACCATTACACAGGGGCTGGTCAAGGACAAGACCGAGTACGTCCTGCATCTGTGTGGGCTGCACGATCGGGCACACGTGTACGTCGATGGCGTTATGCAGGTCCGCTGCGTGCACAGGAGGGAGGCAGGGAGGAAGAGGGGCACACTCACACGCGGTGTCTGTGTTCTGTGTGGATTGTGCAGGGCATTGCCAGTCGGCAGATGAGCGCGCCGTCACATTGGGAGAAGAGCGATCAGTGTGGGGGCGGGCCGGACAGTGTGGCAATCAACGTCACCATCCCTACACCAACCACAGAGGTCGCCTCACTACTCAGATGAGGGCATTCCAAACCAGCACACACGACAGACATCACACGTAACGATTTCCTTTCTCGTGCTTCTGGGTGTGGTCTGGGTATATCTTGAATGAACGAACAGGGCGTGAGCTCCCCGCCCGAGCTCTTGGTTGTGGTCGAGAGCTTGGGTCGCATCAACTACGTCAACTGGAGATTCGTCACATCGGAAGACTCAAACCCGATGCTCACCGACCTGAAAGGTGAGTGAATGTGGGACGGAGGGAGGGAGCATGAGTGTGTCGATGCCATACTGATCACACAAATGCGCTCTTCTGTGCCGTGCAGGCATCACTGGGTCGGTGTACCTTGACCAGCAGCCCCTCACCGGCGCCGGCAGCTGGGCCACCTCGCCCCTCCCCCTCACACTCGAGTTCCTCACGTCATCCCTCAAGTACCACAAACCCAGCCACCAAGACCGGCAGGGGAAGGTGGGGCCTCTGTCGCTGTTCAAGGGCAGCGTATCGCTGCCAGGAAAGTACCCACGAGTCAAGGGCAGGCTGCCGGATACTTTTCTGGACATGTCTGAGAATGGGTGGAGCAAGGGCGTGGCCTTTATCAACGGATTCAGCCTTGGCAGATACTGGAATGAGGTACGTGCGGGCGGCGGGGGGGGACAGGGGGAAAACGACTTCCACACCGATCGCTTCTGTGTTGTGTGTATCTCTGTCTGTCAGGCTGGTCCACAAAAACGGCTGTACGTGCCGGGCAGCCTCCTGCACATCGACGACACCAACGAGCTCATCCTCCTAGACACAGACGGCCCCTCATGCGAGCAGCCCCCATGCTCATTCCAGGTCCGCCTCATCAGCGAGCCAATCGAGCAGGACGCCGCAGGCAAGATCAAAGCCGGCGAGTGGATACCCGGCCAGCAGGAGCTCTCCTTGAGGGGTGCTGGGGAGGGAGAGGACCAGCAGCTCGTCAAGGAGCAGGCGCTTGTGGGCATCCCTCTAGAGGCTGATGACCTCTCTGCCGACGCCACTAACGTCCGACAAGCAGACAAGGGAGGGAAAGGGTGGGAGGGCTTCGAGCGGCGAGGCAGCCGGGCCGTGAGTTATGAGGGTAGGAGAAGGGAGAAGCGCGTCAAGTACGTGAGTGGCGGGGGGGTGGTGCGGGAGGAGGGTGATCAGGGGGGGCGGCGGCAACACAGGAGGTCTAAAATGGATGACATCCCGCTGGGCTTCCCTGCCGTTCTCGGAGGTGAGTCAGACACACAACACAACACATCACATCACAGCACACGGTTGGCGCAAATGGTATGTATGTCTCGCTGCCTGTGTGTGGGTGTGCAGGTGGTGTGATGATGATCGGTGTCGTGTCGGTGCTGCTGATCTTCTGGCGGCAATACAAATCGAGACCCATTGACTACAAGCGGCTCGCGTAAACGACCGACCGTATGTCTGTGTGTGGACGTCTGTGTGCTGTGTGCTGTGCGCTGCGGGGCTGGACAGTAATTAAATTGGTCAGTTAGGTGTTTGCAATTCGTTAGTTGAGTGGCAATCTGTATGTGTCGTTTCTCAGTGGGCGGAGGCGTGTGTTCATGTGGAAGGGGTGGATGACATGCTGGCAGGCAGGCAGGCAGATCAATCAGGACAGACAGACATATCTGGACACACAGAGGAGTGTGTGTGTGTGGTGTTTTTGCTGTAGGGAAGGATGTGATGCGATGAGTGACGACTCAGTGCGTGTGTGTGATGTGACCCAATCATGTGTCGGCCGCGTGAGGTGAAATGTGCACTGATGGATGGATGGATGGATAGATGGGATCACGGCACCATGGGCATCCTCCCTCACGCGTCAAGCCTTCTGGCATTATCCCTCAACAGCTCGTCAACCGGCCGTCCTGTCTGCCTCTGAGCCTTCAGTATCCTCATCTCTAGCACCAGCAACTCCACCCACCTCCTCACACCCATGTAAGGCGCCATACACCTCAGCCATGCCTGTCTCGTCGGCAGCTTCTCGCGCTCATCCTCCCTGACCCGGTCCAGCATCTCCAGCAGCATTACGGCCTGTGCACGCGCCCACCTGCTTCCCCACAGGAAGTGCCGCAGCCGCAAGGCAAATCTCGCAAGGGGGCCGGGTGTGTGGGGTCTTCTGAGCCTGTTCAGGGCGCCATGTCTCAGTGAGGCCAATGGGATTCGCAGCAGGACGTGATGCCACGGGAGCAGGTGCCTGAATGGGGGGATGTAGCCATCGTTGAGCAGGAGCGGGACGCAGCCAGCAGCGACGCTCTGGGAGATCAGATCAAACAGTCCAGAATGCGCATGCAGCACATTTCTCCTCACTTTGTATATTCGGCTGGTACATGGATAATTCCCGGCTGCGAGAGCTCACAACACGGCCAGCCATCAGATAGGGCGAGTCTCGATGCAGATTGTCGTGTCTGTCTGTCTGTCTGTCTGTTTGTCCGACCTGGTGCAAGGCAGTATTTGGTGGCGGCATACATTCTCGCCGTGGCCTTCCGCCGACACGACTTGGCCACAAATATCCACTCGCCCGCATCCTGGCGGCAGCACAACGAGGCAACACTCTCAGTCACAGAGAGAGACATATGCATCCCCTGGCCTACCTTGTCTTTGAATTTGTGTTTCTTTCGAATGTCAGCATAGAAGCCCCTCAGGTCGGGCTGACTGCCCTGCCACTGCTGCTGCGCCTCTCTCTGCGTGGACACCAGCTTCAAGCTTCTTATGAAACTTCGCTCTGCAGACCGCTTGAACGAACCGCAGTAGACCTAACGAACAGGGGGCACTCTGCTTGAGCGTGTCTTTCGTCATGCGGCCTCCCCTTCAGCAGACCATCAGGTAGGTGCGATGGTTGGTCCTTGAGACAGAGTGCCTCCGCCTCTCAACCGCCCTGCGCTGTCTGCTGATGAACCTCAGCTCATCGCGCTTGATGTACCCAGGAATGACAACGTGGTTGATGGTGTTGTTCTTGGCCAGCAGCCGCAGCTTGGTGCCCTCCACGGCAAACAGCCCCAGCGACATCGGAGTCAGGTGTCTGCTCTGTGTTGTGGACCATGTGGCCGTCTCAACCGATGCCCCACCTGCGCGCACAGAGAGGACAGCAGACAATGTCCATGGCTTTCTTTCGTCTGTTGTCTGCATTCCACCTGAGGCAAGCGTGAAGAAGAAATCCTGAGGTCTGTGCAAGAAAGCCTCCTGCACCTCTGGGGTCCACTGCTCATAGAGGTCCTCCAGCTCAAAGCGCAGGTGGTCCTCGCGCCGGCGCCTCCTGTTCACCGGCTGAAGCATCTTCTGATACCGCTCGACCTGCACGACACACGAACACAACCATTGGTACAATGCGCCATCGCCGCTCCTTGACGATGAGCCCCTGTGTGTGTCTGCACCTACCAGGATGAAATCGGCCTCGTGCACATTTATGACGACTGTGAGATGCGGGCTGGCGCTCCCTGCGATGAGAGAGGGCAGCAGCTCAGTGCAGAACTGCCCAAACACCCAATCCTTGCTCCTGCGCACACAAGCCAGCGCACAGCAATGGAGGAGCGAAGCCACAGGGACACACAATACAAGCGACTTGTGCGCCAAAGCTGGCCCTGCGGCCGGAAGGCTGGCATGTCCGCCTGTGCGGCCAGCCAGCCACCTCGGCAGAGACGCAATGCACCCACCTCTGGCATCGTTCTCGGATTTCAGCGATAGCCCCTTGCACACCCGTGTCGTCGGCACCGTGACGGCCGGCATTGAGCAGTGGGAGATACATGACCTTCAAGGGAGGAAGGGTCGTCTTCAGGACCTCAATCCAGCTGCCCCACGTCTGAGGCGTCAGACGGGCAAGCGCAGGCACGGAATCAAAGAACTCTGCCGTGCGGTTGTTGACTTTGACGCCATAGAACATTTGGGGCTCCACAGTGTCGCTCAGGTACCCCGTGGGGTGGACGAGCATGCCGTATTGGTTGATTCTGTAATGGATGAAGGCGAGAGAGATCCGCCGGGTGAGATCTGTCCATAGTTTGGAGCGAGGCAGCCAGATGTACAAGAGGAACAGGGAGGTCCACACGGATGCGATGCTGATGAGCACACGCAGGGCCCTGAGGGACACTGCCATTTCCCCCTTATCTCCTTTGGCGCGTCCTCGCCGCCGGCCAGGAGTTCAGGCCAGGAATTTGAAGATGATCTGTTGAAATGAGGTCTGCAATGTTATGTTAGGCTCTTGAGAATCACTCACTCAACATGACATGGAAACGCAGCTGGAGTCGCTCTCTCGCTCTCCTGTCATCTCTCCCTCCTCAGTGGCCTCTGATCGTCGCACCTGCTATCCCACACGCCTTTCTCTTTCTCGCAAGAAGAGATCGGCGTGTGCAGAGCAGCCAGAGTGACGATGAAAAGCCGCCGAACAGGGGACGAGCTTGCGGGGGTAACACAAGTCAGCTCACATCTCTCCGCTACACATCCACCAACCACATCCAAGTCGGCAAGTAGAGCATCGCTCCATGCAGCCAGCCACATCGGCCGGCATCCATCAGACCGGACTAATTAATGTGTCACCCCTTGTTCTCTATCATGGTCAGCAGCCCAGTCGACGAAATCAACAACTCCCTGCACACACACACACACACACACACGTAGAAGCAATGGGTGGCAGGGAGGCATGTCATGTGCTGCATGTGTGTGTGGCAGCATGGTACGTACCGTGCCAGACTGGTGATGCCGAGCCACACCACTGGGCTGATGTCCACACCAAACGCAGGAGGCACCAACTGACACACAACACACAGACAGACAGACAGACAGTGAGAAACCCACCCTCCTCACCTCTCGTGTTGGTTTGAGGACGGGTTCAGTGGCGACGATGACGGCTATCCACGGCAGCTCTTTGAGCTTCAGGCTGGGGTACCATGACATCACCAGTCGAAAGAAAAACAGCAATGTGAAGGCCAACAGGAACACGTCCAGGGCAACCTTGGTGGGCCTCAGCCACGCAGGCACGGCAGACAAGAGCACCGAAGACGAGTCAGCAAGGGACGACGCCGCATCAGCCACCGCTGGACACAACCACAGCGCTGCGCCGGAGACTGCCAGGGCCGGCAGGATGACGCTTGCTGTTGACAGATCTCCACGTTCTCGCCTCGTTGGCGGTGTCGGCCTTCTTTTCGGATCGTTGACTCCATACTCGGCACCGGCAGGTGGCCATGGAGGTACTGCTGCAGCAGAGCGATGTTGTCTTGGTGACGGCCTGGGAGGCGGTCTTGAGGGAGATCGCAGCGCAGGAGGGCCGAAGCAGAGCGCTGGCCTCAAGACAATGGCCATAATGGCGCTGAACACGACGAATGCACCCTTCATCTGCATCTAGCTACAGGGTTTTTACTGGGGTGCAGGGTTTCTGGTCGTTCGTTCGTTCGTTTGTTAACGGGCACCTAGGCCCCGGCCCCTGAGGGCAGATGGTGTGTCCAATCAATGCGTCCGTACGTCTAACGTGGCCAGCGCTCAGATGAAAAATCGGCCACTGCTCGTTCTTGAAAAGGAAAGCAAGACACGTCGCCAGCCAACAGCACAGAACACCCAGACAGGAACAGCCAGACAGCAGAGGAAAGAGAGGCCAGAAGGGCAACAAAGCAGTCCAGCCTCAGGCGCAGAACGTGCAGGCAAGTAAAGATGCTGTGTCGATGAGATGCTGTCGATGAGATGATGTGTGTGTCCCCCTCACACACTGGCTGAAGATGAAGTGACATAGCTGCCTAGTAGTGCACGCCCGCCCCATCACACTCGACCGATCCACCCAAACCCAGATGCACAGAACAGCCAGACAGCAGAGGAAAGAGAGGCCAGAAGGGCAACAAAGCAGTCCAG